TCATTCTTGGTGCCACACTGGACAAACGGAGACATGGGTTAGTAGTGCAAATGGACAGAGGTCAAGGTGTGACTACCTAGTTGTACCACTAGGGTGGATGTCCGGCCAACTACGCACTTCTTTAACCATGCAGGTTGATTCGGGGAATCAAGGCGAGGACCACCTGCCGTTGGCGGGGAGCTTTCGCGTCCTGTGCTCCAAGATGCAGGCAGTGAAGATTAAGCCAGAATTCGACCGTGACCAAATACATAGGACAGATCGACTCAAAGTTCAACAGGCGTTTGCCGATCCACCGATGATTCCATGGAATGTTGATGTTGATGAACATGCAACCAAGTTGTCTGACTGGGTTGTTGAGCGACTCATGTCAGCCTTCCCTAAGCCAGAAGCGAGAGCCCGAAAAAGCTATATATCGCCTGCGACATGGAAATATAGGCAAACTAGGTTGGATGAGAGATCAAGCTTTCGTGAAGAGAAGAGCATGATGGCAAAGCTCACTTTGTATGCTGCATATCAAGCATGGCACAAGGATAAGCCTTTGAATGCCCTTCTTACTATTGGCAAAGCAATTGCTAAATGCATGCACCTGTGTGTGAAGGGGAGGAAGTTAGCACAGATGGGGAAAGTGCTTTCCAAGCACCTACGTGATGATAGAACTGCGAGTCTAACAGAAATTGCTGCAAGTACTGCTAACATGAGTACTAAGGACCTATATGCGGCCCTCAGGCGCATTGGGATTCAGAGCAGGCGCAAACCGAGCGGCATACAGCCGCTGCCCCTTGTGCGAGATTCAGAAGGGAACCCCTTGAGCACATTTCGCGATTTGGCTAACCGATGGAGAGAGCACTTCGCTGAACAGGAAGATGGGGTGAGCATTTTGCCACAGCAATTCCTAGATGACACAGCAGAGAAGCGCGGACTACCAGTGGTAGTCCCGAATTGGGAACACCTTCCTACGAAGATTGAGATCGAAATGGCATTTCGAAGCACTAGGAGTCACAAAGCATATTTTGATGATTTTGTACCGGGAGACCTCCTTGCGAGAATTCCAGAAGTCATGGCACAAGCATACTATCCTTTGATGCTGAAGCAGGTCATGTTCCAAAGAGAAGCTCTGCTGCATAAAGGAGGGAGATTGATACCCTCATTCAAAAAGGGAGACCCCTCCATTTGCAGCAACTACAGATCATTGTTTGTGTCAAGCGTGGTTGGGAAAGCCCTGCATAAGGTCTATAGGCAGGAGCTCAGCCAGACGCTGGAAAACAACCGACTGTCCCTCCAAATTGGAGGCCTGAAGGGTCATTCGATTACGCAGGCATCCCATTGCTTGCATCTGCTCCAAAGGATTGCCCTCCAGCGCAATGAGTCCCTGGCAATCATCTTCGTAGATATCCAGAATGCCTTCTATCGACTGTTGCGTAAGCACATTACGGTTACGCCAGATGACAACAGGACGGTAAGAGAACTTTTTGCCGGACTAGGGCTACCTGCACAAGCGTACAATGAGTTCCAGGAATGCATGAATCAGCCGCCGGCACTAGAATCGGCAGGAGTGTCGCCTTTTCTGCGGACACTGTTCGGAGAGTTTTTCACAGACACATGGTATAAAATCGAAGGTGCAGAGCATTGGACAAAAACACGAAGAGGGAGCAGACCGGGGGACAGTTTTGCCGATGCGTGTTTCGCCTTTGCTCTTTCGAAGATTCTTCGAGACATTGATGCAGATTTAGTAGCAGAGTTCCCATTCATAAGCATCGAATGGAGCGGGCATCATGACCCCTTCGAGCGACATGAAAGACATCAACTAGGGCCCCTTCTGCCGATTTGGGCCGACGACATTTCATTGGCAGTTCGGCACCCCTGTCCTCAAACACTGCTGAGGGAGGCGCCGCGAATCGCGTCGCTTTTGCTGCACCGATTAGCGACAGCGGGATTGAAGCCAAATATGAAAAAGGGGAAGACAGAAATGATCCTCGACCTCAGAGGGCCAAGGTCACTGCCGGCCAGAAGAGCACTCGTTGCGACAGGATATCAACTCCCATTAGAGACAGACTTGATTGAAGACCCGTTGCACATCACGCATGCCTACTGTCACTTGGGCACGACCATCGATTCCAAAGGACGATTTAGTAGGGATTTTCGGCAGAAAATGGCTGTAGCGCACGATGTGATCACTCGCTACAAGGCACAACTTTTCAGCAATCGGGGCCTCGATCTAAAACGCAAGATGCAGCTTTTTGATGCACTGGTGATCAAGGCAATCACTTTCAATAGTGCCTTATGGCAACCACAAACCCCCAAGCAATGGGCGCAGGTTCAAGCTGGCTTTCTGAGATTGTACAGAAGAATCTGCATGTGCCACTTTGGGCCTGGAGCCAAAGAATGGAGTGCCAGTAAAATACATGCGAAGCTCGAAGTTCCACAGGCTGGGGTGATTTTGCGTGCTGCAAGACTAAGGTACTTCTCACAGCTTGTCCGACTGGGACAAGCGCATACATGGGGGGCTAATACAAACTGAGCAGAAATGGTATGGCCAGATCTGTTTTGATTTGGAGTGGCTGTCGCGGCAATGCCCAGAAGATGAAGTACCCGGAGGAGGACTTGAAGATTGGCCCAAGCTGTATGATCGCTTGCATTCCCACCAAGGTCAGTGGAAGCGCATGATTCGTAAAGCAGTGAAACGTGACATTGCTTACCACAGACGTAAATTTGAATGGGAAGAATGGCATGCTTGGATCCATGATTACCTCACGCAGGCGGGGGCGTTACCAGTTCGGACATGTGAACAGCCGGAGAAAATGCATTTTTGCTTACTCTGCAAACGGCAGTTTTCAAGTGCTGCGGCCCAAGCGGTCCACTCTTTCAAGATGCACGACCGCCGACAGGCTGCTCGATATTTTGTCACAGGTAGGCAGTGTTTGCACTGCCTAAAGCATTACAACTCCCATGTCTATCTAGTTAACCATGTCAAACGAAGCACAGCGTGCCTCGAATATTATCAGAATGAACCAATCTTGATCGATCCAGAACCGGGCGTAAATAGCCGTGTTGCAGATCGTCTCCAGCAAAGCACCATTGACCCATTCCTCCAAGCAGAAGGGCCGAGGCTTCCTAAGGATGCCAACTCGATTGCCGACCCACATTTGTTTGGTGAAAAGACCAAACTGTGGGATGCCTGGAGTGATGCGCTGCAGACGAGTATGAGTGCAGCCCGAGAACTATGCAGCCTGCTTCGACAGGCTACGTGTGTTACTTTCCTGACTCCGAATGAGATACTTGCCGAATACCAAAGATGGAAGCAAATGATCCTCAGAGATAATGAGGAACTTACACTTCGACAACTCCATGAACTTGCGTGCTTTGCATCTAACTTTGGATTCGCATGGTTTGTGCAAGCACCGATTGTAGAAGATGAGAAAATGCTGAAGGCCAATTTGTTTTTTGACCGTGAAGCGGCTTCAAATGCACCATTTGCCTTTGTGCGTTACAAACTGCCACAATATAGGCCAGTGCTGTTCGCACATTTTTTCTCAGGAAGAAGAAGAAATGATGATTTTCAGATGTGCCTTGATGCCTTAGGCATGCAAGCCATATCGATCGACATCATATACCACGCCGAGGCTGGTGATCTATGCAACCCCGCCACATTCGATCTCTTTCGAAGAGCCATAGAGCAGGGCATAGTCTGTGGGTTCCTAGCAGGACCCCCCTGCGAAACGTGGAGCCGAGCGAGGGGGAAGCAACTGGCCAGCGGCGAACATGGACCGCGAGTGGTTCGATCCAACGAGTCACCTTTTGGTCGACGATGCTTGACACTCCGTGAGGATGTACAGGTCAGCTTCGGAAGCCGACTCCTAGGTGTGACAATGAGATTGTTCTGCGTGGCACTTGTGAATGGGGCAACAGCCATCGTTGAGCACCCGGCACCGGACGAGCAGAGGCCAGATGAAGTGGCAATCTGGCGAACGGCCCTGATTCGGACGCTGCTTAGGTTCCCAAGATGCTCACAGCAAAGGGTCCTTCAGGGGCACTATGGTGCCAGGTCAGCAAAACCTACCTGTCTTTTGCTGGCCAACTGCGACGAATCTGCAGAGCAGATCTTGTTGAGTGCGAGAAGCACTGCACTCCCGCAGGAGGTCAGTATAGGAAAAACTAATGAAGGCGGTTGGAAGACTGCTATTTTAAAAGAGTACCCCGCTGGTTTTTGTAAAGCACTGGCGGCGGTTGCAGCAGTTAGCCAACCCGCTGAGCCGAAATCTGATCCCATACCTACCTGGTTTATGGAGAAGATCGAACCTTTGCTTGCTTGTTTCAACGAGGAAGCTGAAATGGGACCAGATTTCGGGAACCAACAACGAACGCATGAGTAATTAATAATTAGATGCAGTGCTGCTACAGACAGATGTCTAAGGCGTGTGCAGTAAAAAAAAAAAAGTCCTGAATGGGCCTTGGCAAAAAAGTATGCGGTTCTGAACACCTGGATCTTGCCACTGTAAAGCGGCATGTGAAACCTGCCCAGCAAAAACAACTTCCGTGAGGATGGATCATCATGCGACATCCTCCAACCCGAACTCCCACATTGGCACCACCAACCAGCTGTGACACCTGCCCAATCAGGCCAAACAACATCACTGGTCGCCTCCTTGATGCACCAACGCGCCACATGGCCCAAGGTCGTTGGTCCCTCTTGTGCGGCAGGAGATCCGTCGGAGGTGGTCGGCGACAAGATCGGAGAGCTCGGGCTGGAGCCTCCTGTGGGATGGGTTTCAGCAAAGGCAAAAGGAGTGGATTGAGCTTGGAGCAAGCCCAACTTTGTGGTTAGCATTGGCGTGTGACTGGATGAAGCTTAGGGAAGCAGAGTCGAACAAGATTGATATCCAAACAAAACGTTCAGTGTCACTCCATAATGATCAGCTGGATATCAGTTGGTTGTCTTTGCACCCTGAAGCCACCAACATCATCCAACATCTATAATTATACAGGATTCCAATTAAGATCAATTAAGAATTTGGGTGTTTGCTTGTAAAACCACAGGCCAAATAGGCCATAGACCCTGCAGGCCCAGTCGAAAATCCTCCTGCCACCTCCCCATGCACAACCTCGTCATCCGTCAGAACGGGCGTCTCCTCCGCCTGGGGATCCTTCGGAATGACGGCCCCGCGCCCCGAAGACGAGGAAGGCTTGCTGACCTGAGAACGGGAGGAAAGGCTGACCGACCTGGAATGGGGGGAGAACTATTGGAGAACTGAAACAGAACATCCGAACGGCAGTAGAAGCTGCCACTGCTGCCAGGTTCTGACTGCTGCCAGGGTTCCTATTTGCAACGAAAGCTCTCAGGTTCTTTTTTCCTTTGCCATTGCCCTTTTTCGGACTTGAGTACTCTTGGGTCATGGCAGTGGAAGTCAGCTATGTCCAGAGGTGAGAAGATCCCTGTAGGAGACTGGTGGGGCCAATCCAAAGCCATCAAGATTTTAACGAATTTCGAAACCTTTCAGGTCAAACATCTTAGGAATCTGATGGTCGCCCTTAGTCTTTGTCTAACTCTTCTGCTTTCACCCAACCTTTCCACACCTCCTTTCACCGTCCTCCACGCATCAACCACAAGCTCCACAGCCGCATCCACCCGCTTCCACCCGCTCCTCCACCCCCTCCCGCCAAGCGGCGGAAGCGGCACTGCTGCGCGGCCTCGCTCAAGTCGTCGCCGTGGACGTCCGCGGACTCGTCCAGCTCGGTGGGGATCACCGCGTACTCCACCTGCCGAGGGGCGGCGCGGCCGGTGAGCTGGCGCAGCTGTCCGCGCAGAGCGATGCGCGCCGAGAAGGAGCCGAGAAGCCAAGGTTTGCGGCGGCCGACGGTGGAGGGACTTGCGGTGGAGGGCGGTGGATTGAGGTTTGTGGCGGCCGTGGGGGAGGATGTGGGGAGGCGAGAGGGTTGGAGATGGTTGGAGTGGAGGGACATGGTCGGATGAAAAGAAAGTAGCGCTTTCTTTATAGGATGTTGGTAGGTGGAATGAACGTGGTGGATATGGGCGATGGTGATGGACCGTGTAAAATGTCCGTCATGGACAGTTTGTTGACTTGGAGTTCAGGTGTGTGATACACAATGTGATATAGTTGGGGTTCAATTTATGGTGATAATCCGTAATGATCTCAGTTGGTGGACACAATGTCGCCGCAGGAATTCATAAACTTCAAGTTGCAACTGTTTCCTGTGCTGAAGCTTAGAGCACCGTACCCCAAACAAGCACCTTGCAAAAACCAAAGGTTGTGCACAGTTTGCGCGCCGGGGTTGGCATGATCAATCTGCGGGGCCCTTGGTTTGTGCGCCCCTGAGCAAAACAACCAAAAACACACACACACACACACCCTCCAGGACTATCCAATGGGTAGCAATCCAAATTGCTGAGTAGTGTATTAGTATAGTAGCGTAGGGTACTCCATTGGACACCCGTTGGATGGGTCCTGGCTAGCAACACCTGCAACCTGGCAAACCTGCTGACATCAAAATGAATTGAAAACCTGCGCCCTGGTCAGCCCAAGCGGCCTTCTTATCCCGCATCACCGCTTGGAGTTGGTCTGTACACATCCTGCGTCCGTCTTGGCGGGACGAGCTCGTGGTGGCAAGTGGTCCCTCGAACTCCAAGAACTTCTCAGCGTCCCTATAGACATAAGCCTATGCATAAAACAAGGGAATCACTTGGAATCACACACATTCCACAAATTAGGGAATGCTCCACCTCCATGTTTCTTGAAAGGAAGTATGATATTATAGGACAAAAGGCAAATGTTTGGGCCACGAGGACTGCATCTGAGACAGCACACTGCAATCGTACCAAATCGCTAATCAACTGCCCGAATCTGGCATTGGAACTTTTGGGTTGTGAAAGGTCCTCCACCTCCATGACCCAGTCATGCCATCTACACCACGAGTCGAGTGGACTGAACCAGGTTCAAGACTGAAGGGTGGATTGAATAAGAAACGGACATCAATTGAAATCCCTAACCCCTAATACTGACTGTCCAGTGGTGTTGGCTCTTGATGAAGAAACCCATGTAGGATCGACATGACAAATCCAAATCCCAAAGCCATCACACAATTCTTAAAGCAAAAGGCCAACTCTAAGCTCCAACCCCCCTTGAACAAACGGAAAGAAAAACAAACACACGTATAGAGTCTGTATAGCCCTTGGATTCACCCAACACACTACCCAACACACTCGAACTCCGCAGCTCCCGGTCTTCTGCCGGGTCACGGAAGAGCACCCCCACCCCGACCACGGGAACCCGACGGCCTCTCCAATGGCTCAGTGAATTCGCTCGGCCCGAAGACCCGGCAAACGATCTCATCCTGCCAAGACCCGGTTAGCAAAGCGAGAGCACGTCGATGAGATGGGGTGTGCAACTTGCTATGGTGTGTTTTTGTTCCTTAAAATTCGTTACGTGTTTCTTAGGAGTTGGGAAAGATAACTATTTTCGTTGATGTTGGTGGGTGTTTTCGGATGTTTTCTTCGTTGAGTTTCTCTAAATATGAAAAAAACACAGAAAAAAACTTGACACAACGGCGCCTTGTCGGGCCGTGCCCACGTGGCGCACAGCTGCAAGGCATATTGCGAGTGCAAGCTGCCGTCCACGGCCTCCAGTCGTCGTCTTTGGTCGTCTTCCGGGGGTTCCACGAGGCGAAAACGTGACCCGTCTTGCGGAGTCTTGCGGCTTTTCGGCGATCGAATGGGATCCTCAGTTCAGGCAAACACTTTGGTTTCAACACTACAACCGTAACGAAAACCATGGTTGCAGAATTTGCATACAAACGTATATACAGAATTTGCATATAAGAATGGGTTGCTGAGGGCATATTGAACATGATCTCAGCACTTGACCTGATGGTCGTTCCACTTCATGCTAAGTCTTTTGTGCAAGAACCCGTGTTTTGAACGAAGCCTTCCCAAAACAAACAAACAACTCTCTTTCCCAATCGTCTTGTGCCAAGAAAATCATACTTCCCCAAGTCAAACTTTCCCAAAACTTCCCCCACTGCCTTCCTCTTCCATCCCACGGGATCGAACACTTCCCGCTTTCGCCAGGAGACCACCATGAAAACGGTCGCCAGCTTCGTGTCCACGCGGCAGCCCGGGCGGATCAAGACCACCGAGCACGGGGCCTGGAGAGCGGACCGCGGTCAGCGGAGGGTGGTCCGAAGTGCGGCGAGAAGTGGAGTTGGTGGTTCGCTTCGTGGAGGTTCATGACATCGGTTTCCACATTGATGAAAACCGAAGATGTGAAGAGCCGGTGAACTGCGGTGAACTGGACGGTTCGACGTAGCTTGTGTGAATGGGTTTCGGGGAAGCAATGTTTAACTTACCACTTCAACCACAAACAAGCCCACGGCCTAAACAGTGACTGTGACCATTGATCCAAAGACACCCCGCCTCGAGAGCTGCCAAATGGGCGCTGGAGCCCAAGGTGGTTCGCTGGAAACAGTTGGAGCGTCCCGCCTGTGATGTCTGCCGCGTTCTGCCGTCTTCCGGAAGCGGTTAGTGCGCGGGCCCGTTGTGGGGAATGAGCTGGTAAGCCGATGGTGGTTTCCTGGTGGCTATCCATTGCTGTGGAGTAGTTCTCTAACTACGACCTCTCCTCCACCAAGGTGTACTAACATTTTGCTGACATGGCTGTGGGGATGTGCGGGGCGTCAGACTTTGCAGTGGCAGGGATGCTAGGATGGATTCTATTAGCTTTCGGATGTTTTCGGCATAGATGGTGCAAAGTGAGTTGGTAATCTACACTAGAACTATGAGCCTGTGAGAGACTGTAGAATTAACAGAAGGGATTGGGATGGATTAGCGGTTCGTAGTCCTTTAGGTTGGGGGCAGTCGAACTGACCGTCAGTCCTTGTAGCCACAACTTCCCATGACCTCGGGAGGTGCGAAGAACCCTCACACCATGATCTCTCGTTTTCATCTCTGGCACTGGAGACAGCTACACAACACAGTGCCCATGTTTTCTATTTAACTCCTGAAGCTCCGTAGAGCTCAAAACCACACTGCTGGATTCTCTGTTTCATCATGTGTGGAACATCAGGCGTCAAACCCAGCGGCCAAAACATCCGCATTGGTGACCGCCGCAAAGTTCACGATCATGCCTCGATTGAACTGCAGGTCGCTGGTTGCGGCGCGCAATGAATTCAGACGTCTCAACACCAGCCTGTCATAGACCACAAAGGATCATAACGACATGCAACATCGCAACATATCACAAAAGATTCGCAACTGGCAACGATCCTTTCATTGGTTCCCCACCATCACTCACTCCTCCCTTCTTCTCTTCTTCGTCCTTTCTTTTTTGAATACATAAACAATTATATAAGTTATATAAGTGAAAAAAAAAACGCAACGCCGACGCCCACGCATGCCCCGACCCCCCTGAAGTGGATGAAGACCTCCCTTCTGACCAAGCAGGACGAACCATAGAACATGATAGAACAATAGATAGGTAGATAGATAGAGAGATAGATGTATATAGGTCAATCCAACCTACGATATATTTAGTGAATTTAGTGGAAGTGTTTGCCAAAGGTCAGGCTTTGAGAGGTTGCTTGGATAAGCCACTTCTTCCACTGTTCAAGTGTCAAACTCTGGAGTTCCTTAGGTTTAGCCACTCTCTCCAAGTTCTGGTTTATCTAGAAGTCAAACTCTGAAGTTTCCCGTCTCTCGATACTTGGTTCTGGGTATCATTGATACTTGGATACTGGTATTTGGGTATCATTGACACTTGGTTCTGGGTATCATTGATACTTGGATGCTGGTATCGGGGTATCATTGATACTTGGATCTGGATACCGTTGATACTTGGATACTGGTATCGGGGTATCATTGATACTTGGTTCTGGGAATCGTTGATACTTGGATACTGGTATCTGGGTGTAATTCAAGCTAGGCTCTGGGTATCGTTGATACTTGGATATTGGTATCGGGGTATCATTGATACTAGGCTTGGGTATCTGCGGATATGCATGCAATGTGTGAAAATTACTCTTGGATGACTCACCCACAAAACATTTCAAGCGCCACAGTTCTTTTCACGGTCGAAGCCCACATGTATCCTGCATCCCTCAACTTACGCTCATCCTCTTGAAGGAGCTTGGCGACGAAATGCCAATGCTTCAAAGCCACTCTTACATTGGTTGTACTTCTCAGGACGCAGTCTGCTGGCTCCTCACGAAGAAGCTTCAACTCCATGTTGGTCTCTTCGCCGCTCTCTGCGAGATACCCCATGGGTCCTGCCTCTGCCACCTTAAGGAGATAGTCCTTCACTTCCTGGTCATCCAATTTCTTTTGAATTGGTTGCACCCTCCGCTTGTACCACTTCTCAGCCTGCTTGATCACCGCATCCGCGCCATTCTGACCTTCTCTGCAGACGTTTTCCAGTATCTTACCCAAGGCGCAGAAGTTGCCCCCTGCGCGGATGTAGTATAGTGCTTCAACACCTGCTCGATGTCCTCGTCGGCAAGAACCTTGCTCAGCGTCCGGAAGTCGTTTCCCTGCTTCGCGATCTCCTTGACCACAGACGAGAAGTCTTCGAAAGGTAGGGGTCGCACCACAACCAGCCTTGACTTGTCAAACCTTTCTTCGACGATGTCCGCCACCGCAGACACGCTGACCTCCAAAATGAACTTGCACGCGGCATTGCCGTAGGTGATGTTGCGAGCGAAGGCACCGAGGGTGGAAGCAAGGTCATCAAAGGCATCCCTACTAAAATTGTCTCCGCGGCTTGTGGTTGTGAGTTGCAGGTACACCACTTGTTCTGGGTAGTATCGCGGCAGATTTACTGCTTGCAATGCTTTGCGCAGCGCTTCATTGAGCTTCAAATCCTCGGACGGCTTGACATCTTGAGCGGAAGCAGCATGGTTGATTTCCCAATGCCTTGGAAACCACTGACCACCAAGAATGAGGGTGTGCTCAAAGCTTTAGTTGAGGTGAGTTGATGAAGTCCTTGATGTATTCCTCCTCGAGCGGCCGTGCAGGATCGGGCTCTGTCCTTTCCAGCCTTTGCCCAGCCTTCCTCCGCCGGAAAAGCCCTCGCGGTTGCGTTCGTGCATGACCGCTTGGAAGGACGAACCGGCCTGGCGCAAGCTGAACCTGCCTCACAAAGATGCATCTGCAGAATGTCAAAGAAAAAGGACAATACATCGGTTCTTCAGTTTTGTGCCAAACTGATAGAACAACTTGGTAGAATTTGAAGAACAACTTGGTAGAACAACTTGGTAGAATTTGAAGAACAACTTGGTAGAAAAATTGAACCTGAACCTACACTTAGAAACTCTGACCACCTCAACAAGTATCCCCTTCATTCAATCCAAACAATTAAGTGAAAGTCACGACCCTAAAACGCGCATAACAAGACCCCTGAAAAACGACAAAGGCTCAACACAAATTTTCAAGAGCCAAGACAATTTAACGAGGTGATTGATGAACAAGAACTCCGCAGAACCCCCATTTTACAATTTTTTTGGGAGACCCCCCTTCCGGGTAGATACCCAGGTATGGCCGGGTATGGCCATTCCATAAAGTGGCATGGAAAACATTCGCAACGCTTCCATTGCAAAGGCGCGAGAAATCTTGATGGCCTCGGCCTTCTCCTGGCGGCATTGTGAGTGGGTTTTGAGAAGCTAAAGGGATCATCACAACAAAGGAAGGCAATTCACATACGGCTTTGGTGCGGATCAAAGACCCTCAACTGACAACATTCCTGAACATCGGTCACCAAATCCAGCAAATTCCAGCCGCGCCATGGACTTCTAGAGCTGCCAGCTTCTTTATATATCCACAGCCCAATGGGCCAATGGTCTACAGGACCTTTCATGAGACCAAGCACAAGCTCCTTCTGGTGCACGGTCATGAGCATCTTGCCATGGCAACTGTCAACCTGCAAAAGAGTCCAACTCCAACCCCCTACTTCTTGTGGGGACTGTGCAGGATTTCTCAATCCCCAAACATGGCCCAAGGCACTTGCATCCTGAAGCGCATTTGCCCCAGCTAGCACGGCTTGCAAAGCAAAGCCAGTCAGGTAAACTGTTAGGTCGACACAAGTTGGTACTGTGGAGCACCAACCGGTGCTGCTTGGGGAAGACAGTCAAGGAACTAAGCAAGGCAAGGGGAGGCCCTTACTCTCTACTTGGCTGCTCTCAGCTTGGCCGCTGGAAGTTTAACCTTTAGGGTCCAAAAAATACGAAAAAAACATGTTTTCGAAAAAGGGTGAGCACACCAATGCCATCCTGATTCCCAGCTACACGTCACACACAGATAGAACATCGTCTTTCCTGAGCCTGGAAGTTTAAAGTGCCAAGGTGGAAAAGAACGGCCAACTGCCGATGGACCCCGTCAAATATTTTCCCTGTTCGCTTGCGTTTGCTGGCGATGTTGGTAGGAAGTACGGGCAGAAAACACTCAATCTCAATAATGAATTGACAATTTTGCATTTGGGATGGGGTCATGCTTGTATCTTCCAAATTTGGCGATGGGCTCAAGCCAAATATCAATCAAACTTGAGGCCGAGGGTAGGTGACGAAAGCTAGCAGGGGTGCATCCGGACTGGTGGGACATCAAGCGGAGTGAGGCAAATGCTCATGAGGTTGTGAACATGTAAGACACACAAACAGCAATGACACAGCCAACCTTAGAATTGAAGTCCCCGATAATTAAGGAAGCGTGGCTGGACTTTGCCACACTGTTCGATGCATCCGATGTGTTCACGAACCTGTGAGCTTGTTGAATCTGTTGCGCTGTATCCCAAAACCTCCACGGAGGAGTTGAACCAGTGTGGATGCCATAAGAGGTGCCCAAGAGGTGTCCCAGAGGCAAAACAAAGCTGCTTGCATGATTTGTTTGGTTTCTTCTATCGATGTCGATGTCATGAACATGTGAGCTTGTTGAATCTGCTGTTGGATCGTCATGTATATGTAATGAGGGACTGAAGAAAAGCAACGCAGCATCATGAGCATCACGGGAAGTCACAAACCAGGCGTATCAGATACACCTGGCTTATGTATGTTTGTTTGAGCATCTTTGTCGAGTGAAGTGTCAGCCATATGCACTGAGATGCCGAAGGAAGCTCAAAGGCACGTGTATCTGATACGCCTGGTTTCTGACTTCCCGTGATGCTCATCATTGAAGCCTTGAACCCTCGCGTAAATTTCATGTTTCATGCCCCCCCTTCCAAACTCAAACAGTGGCCTACTTCACCTGCCACCTAAACATAGCACTATAGCACGTACCGGAAGCGTCCCAGGGGGGAGTTGAACCCGCGGGGGGGAGGGGGGGGGGGCCCCCCTACACGTGAAGTTTTCACGTGATTCATGATTCTCGAGGCTGCGAGCCCTTGACTTGCTAAAGCAAGAGCAACTCCAGCTAGCTGATGCTAGCTTTCGTGATAAAGCAACCTTGCAGAATGCCTCACCAAGCGTACGTAACAACGTCTGATAGACCTGAGAGTAAACAAATGTGAACAAAAAGTCTAAGATCCTAAGGGACCACCTGAGGACAGCCAAGTCTAGGAGGATGGGGCTGTTGGACCAAATCCTCCAGGCTCCAGGGAAGCAACAAATGACAAAGGGAGAGAAACTCCTCTTTCTTGGGTGGTATGAGTTTTGCTCCGTCAACCACGCGTTGCTGCATGGTGGACTGTGGATAATTAGTCACCTGGGTCTTTCTTCCGCGATGGATGGGACCATATGGAGCAGCTTCCTGCCTTGCCCAAGCTCCACGACACTCACCGGTCCATTCAGCGTCCATTCCACCGCTCACCGGTCACCGTGGTTTCGAGGGTCTGACTTGGTCAGACAGCAGTGGAGGTCTGCCATTTCAGAGCTCAGGAGTGTCGCGCTTGGTCCTCCTGCACCTCCTGAAATTGGGTGGGAAGTTCAGCCAGTCCGATTCTCAAAAACTAGTCAAACAGTTATATACTAGATGATAGTCTAAATGATATAGGCCCAAGCAAATTTACCCAAATTGGGAAGTAGACATCAACCATATAATGAATTAGTAGAGGGGTTCTTTCAATAAACACAGTTGCGACGTTTAGATGTCAATCGCATTTCACGTTCACGTTTGAGCATTTCATCTGGACAGCACGTTCACGTGACACGTTCAATATTGGATTGACATTGACACTGACATCATGGACCAGGGCAGGAAAAAAGTTCCAACACATTCCAAAACTACACACTGCAATCACTGCAATCATTCCCAAATCCTCCCTGCACCTCAATAGCCCATACATGCCTATATAGATGCCTATATTATAGTGTCCTCCTCTATGAGCGCCATCTCTTCGAGATCCGCTGCATGGCTGGCGGCTTCTAACACTCGAAGCCGATGCCCCGCCATCTGCGCGTGGCGCAGCGCAGTGCTTCCCAGCATGTCAGCTGCCTGGACCGATGCCTTCTGCGCCAAAAGCAGCCTCGGAGAGGAGCCCCAAAGTTCCTCCGAAGAGTCGGGAGACTGGGGAAATCACCGCTTCTGTCCTTGGACTGTAGCTTGTCATCATGGGCGAACGGAACGTAATTATTAAGGAAGAAGTCCAGCAATGCGTGGGTGATTTAACTTCCCAACATCAAAAACATACAAAGTAGGAACCGCATGGCCACATCCATCCACCTCCTTCGGTGATTCGGCGATGCCTCTCTGTCTAAAACTCCAAGGGTTCGAAAACAGGTCATGGACGAAAACATTCATCATCGGTGGCACCCACTTTCCATTTATGGGCAATCCATACAAGAATAAATGAATCCACCACACAACCCAAACCTGGACTGATTTCACTACGTGTCCCTTGCTTACAGATTGCTGCTTGACTCTGTGAGCGGTCTATCAACTGCCCTTGCCTGTTTGGTGATTTCATGATTTTACGTGTCTTCTCACTTCTCCAGCAATTCCAATCCTACTTACTTTTTAATCAACCTTAGGCTTGTGCAGCTCCTTAATCCCACCACACCACGAACTCCGCCCAAGCGACTCCACCAACGGCTCGTGCCCCGCCCGCGCGGCGCAAATCAGCGGCGTCCAGCGATCGCGGTCGGCCGAGTCCACCTTGGCCTTGCGCTCCAGCCTCGGAAGCTTTGGACGGACGAGGTAGAAGTGAATCCAACTGGCTCCTTTCTTGCGGGGAAAGAGTCCATCCCATGAACCCCCATTGTTATCCATTGTTGCATTGTGAATGCTCAGGGGTGTTTCTCTCGTGACCATTAAGCAAGCCTGGCTTGCCGTGTGCATCTGCCAAAAGGCAAGGACGTCGCTCAAAAACAACGCCAGCACCACCACTAGACCACGGTGGTGCATCTGTTTTGGAATGTTTTGGACACCAAGTTGCAGCAGCTCTGCGACCGGCAAATGACCTCCCAAAGCTCGCGGGTATGTGAACCCATGTTTGGATTCTATAAACACCGAAAACAACAAGCATCATTGAATTGCCATGACTGGGGTTGTTCATCAGAATTAACTTTAAGACTTTGTGGCTGTGGTATATCTTGAAGCCACCATTTTAATTTTCAGGAGGAATAAAAATGATTTTGTGTTGATTTGGAAAATTGATTGTTGATTGTGTTTCTCAGGGGGCAGTGAACTCACATACTGCTTTTGCAATCATGCTTAGATACGTGTGTGCGTGTGTGTGTGGGTTTCTTTTTTTTGCGAAATCTCTCTATAGCGATGTAGCCTTCCAGCAATGGGTTTGTTGAGGTGAGTGCACACCAGTAGGTATTTCTGTTCAATTTGTCATTTGCCGATGATGGGTGAGTAAGCGGAATTATATAACTGGGGTTGGTCAAAATGGCTGGTTCAAATTCTACAGTTCTACTTGCTCACCAGTCAAGAAACACTTGTTGGGAAAACCTGCAAGCTTCATGTTGAAAAACAAATCCTTCCACTAGCCGCTAGCCACTAACCACTACTAGCCCACGCTAGCTAGCCCCTAATGGCCTGCCTGAAGCCTTAATCATTCATATATAGATTAGCTTAGATGTAGAACACAAAGGCATCAAAATTGGCCAGCAATTGGAAAGAGAAATCAGAATGCAGCAATGATTCAACGAGGACTCAATCAAATCACGTTTTTCCTCACTGCGTCCAGAATAATCTAGGTCGGTTCACAGGAAGACAGTCGCGCATACCCCAAAATGCAACTGTCAATCCACTCACTGCACAGAGTCACTTTTTTCAGGTGACCCTTCTTCACACACTTCACTGAATTCTTAAAGAAATCAGTGATCTTGAGTTGAGACGTCTTTAGGTTCAGATGATTGAAACCAGTGGCCAACTCACCCAAACTCGACTCACTGCCAGCTGCCACCGAAGCCCTGCTGCTCTCTTCCATGCCATCCATCGATTCAGACTTGGACATTGGGCTATCAAAATACTGAGCATTCTGCCGTGCAAGGGGTCGGATAGGCGAACTTGGGGTTGGAGTTGGACTTGGACCCAATGCCAAAGTATCTGGAGGAGTTGCAGAAGGCGAAGCCAAGGCCCTCGAGGCATATTGAGGCCCAATACCAATCCAGCCAGAAAGCTGCAAAGTATTGCCCGTGAAGCCCATGCGGAGAGCGATGCGAGCAGGGTTCATCTGAGGTGGCTGCGGCTGCTGAGGCTGAAGCCCAAAGCTGTTCTGCTCAGAAGAGTTTGCATTCGCAGCCGACATGGCAACAAATGGCAACAGTCTGACAAGACGGTGTTCGATCAAATCAAACTTCGAACCAACAGTGCTTCAAAATCAGAAATTAAGTAGGCTGCGCAACCCAGTCTCTGTCTCTGGAATGCGTTGCTAGTAACTAGTTACTAGTTACAGTACTCAAGTTACAAACAGCAGACTCAGCAGTCCAACAAATGGACATTCTGTTACAGGTACTACTACAGAGGTTTACGTCAAGAGAAATCTCAACCAACAATCTGACCAGTTCATCAGGTCATCAGACAGCAAACTGAGCCTGAGCATTTCGGTCAAAACTCCTGAGCACGCTTTCATTCCTCCTGGGCATCTCAAGCTTTCCCATATCCAATGGCCAAACCAAATCTGAGTTTACATGTCTGCCAAGCAGAGTCTAGAGTCTAGATCCTTAAGTGGATAGTTTTCATTGTAATTGTAGAGAGCGACAATCACCAATGGATTGATGGGCCACTGGAGCTCAGCCGATTAAGGTGTATTGCTGCTCTTCTTTGCAAGCCCATTGACAAGGTCACCATTCATCATTCACCGCAACCCAAAAAAAATATCATGGTAGCTACATAGCAAAGCACTGCGCATCAGCTTCTAGGTCCTAGGTCTAGAGTCTAGAGTCTAAGTCTAGGCGATCTCCAAATCCAAAAGTTCTATGAAAGTTCAAAGTTAAAGCAATTGAGTCTTGAGCCTTATGTTGGAACACTCGCAGGGCCGCAGTCTGTCCATGACCCATGTCGAAGAGCGGAAGCGAACTTGAAACACTTTGGAAAATGGCCCCAAGCACCCTAGGACTCTATGCCTATGATGCCTTCATGTGCATAGTGGCCATCTGGAGAAGGGCTGGGTGCAGCATGTCCGCATTCTGGCCATGCACTTGATCATTGACCTTTGACATCTGAGAAATGAGCAGATTGCGGCGCTTGTTCTTCTCAGATTGGGAAGCCTCTGAGTCTGGCAAGAATGCTTTGAGGCAGTGTGACAGGATGTTCTCTGACAAGAGCACAGATCCACGGGCAAGCACTTGCTTAGCGGCAGCCACCCCATCTGCCACCGCCTGCACAGCCACAGCAGCATCACCACCAAGCTTTTGGCATACGTGAGTAAAAGCCTGAATCATATCATCGCTCGCTGCGCAGACCTGCGGGAATTGGTTGACCACAAGGCTGACAGCTGATCAGAGTTTGAATACAAGACTTGCAATTGAGAAATTTGGTGTACTGAGTGTACTGGCAACTGTAAAGATTCTGACTAGTGACTAGACTAGACTAGACTAGACTAGGCCCAGGCTGCTTTCTGTACTGTATAGAGTATTAGTACAGTATAGTTGATTGGCTGTGTCCCAGGAATTTAGCACGGTTGGCGGTTAGTTCTGTCATGTCATGTGGTTATGAAACTGCCCCACCTTGTCCAAAGTCTTCACAGGCACCATGCAAAGCTTTTACCTTGACCTTGCCCGCAGTGGACTCAAACACATCGAGCACTGACTTCAAACTATCTCCTCCAGCTTGTGTCCCATCTTCAGCAAGATGCCAGTCTGTTGCCAGCCATTGGCCAGCTGCGCTCTCCTCCAGCTGCCTGACACATGCCTTTGTCTCCTCAATCTTTTTGCTACTCAGCAACTGGAGTGCGTCCAAGAACACCTTGTCATCGAAATTGGACATGCAAACCGCAGCATTCAGACTCTTCAATGAAACTCCTGGCTCTGAGTCTGATGGTAGTGGATCTGGAAGGCCTGCCAAAGCGCTGGTGGTCGCAGTCATGGCACTGGTGGCATTGAGAAACAGCGTCAAGCATTCCAGGAGTTTGCAAGACTTGGTGTCACGTTGAAGCCTGCCATGCGTATCTTCCGCGAGCCCTTCAAACCCACGCATCGATATCTTCAAAGCGCTTGATTCCTTTGCTAATGTGCAAAGAGCTGCCACTGCCTCAAAATTGGCATGCTTGATCATCTTGGCACACACTTTCAAGGCTTGCGCTTTGGGAGCAGTAGAGTCAGATTGATCAGCAGGAAGATTGCTCGCCTGAAGTAGACAAATTCACATAGACTTATAAACAAAACACAAATCCAACAATCAGGTGAAATATAAAAAACATATACAACTCTTCATGTGGAGTGTGGCAGCTAAGTCGGGTGCACAGTGTGAGTAGTGAGTAGTGAGTAGTGAATATTGAATGGTGAGTAGTAGTAGCAGCAATAGTGGTAGTAGTAACTAGTAGTAGTAGTGGTGGTGGTAGTAGTAGAGTAGTAGTAGTCGTGGTGGTGGTGGTAGTAGGGCAGGCATATAAGAAGTATTAAGTAGTAAGTAAATAGTAAGAAGTAAGTAGTAAGTAGTAAGTAGAAGGTAGGTAGTAAGTAGTAGGTAGTAAGTAGTACATACTAATAATTAGTAACCATAGTAATTAGTAAGTAAGTATTTATATAGTAGTATTTAATATTATCACAACTATTACTATTATTAATACTTATTATTAGTAGTAGTGGCAGTGGTACTGGTAGTGGTAGTGGTGGTGGTGGGAGTAGTGTGAACTTAAGTTGGGTCTCAGTCTGAGTCTAAGTCGTTCTAGATTCTAGATTTGACTTACAGTAATCATGTCGAGTCTCCTCGTTCAGAACCTCTTGAATCCCGAGGTGAATGGCTTCCACGCAGGCTTGCTGAACTGCAGGCTTTGCTGTTACTGAAGCACCACACTTGCTGAGGATATTCTTCAACTCAGTATGGTTCACCACAGGTGCACCACCACCTCCTGCATGCTTCTGACACACAGCTTTGGCCCAATCGAATAGATCTGCTTCTGCGATGGACTTGTTGTGCGCCGTCACAAAGCTCGTTAGTTTGCCCAGGGCTGCAAGGACAACTGGTTCCTTCTCATAAGGCTGCATTGTTTGCTGCAGAGCGGTGATGGCTTTGGTGGAAACGGATTCCTCATTGCACAAACCCGAAGTAAGCCGTTCAATGTACATGATGAGCTTCTGGAGGAGGAGCTTGGTAAAGGCCGCGCATTCACCCTGCCTGAGCCCAGATTGGAAATGTTGAAGCATTTGGGAAGCTTCCAACAGTGCCTCTAGGCTTGGCTCATCAACATCAATCCTTGACTTCTGAACCTGAAGCTTTGGCCTCAAACTTGCACTGCTCCCAGCAGTGCGAATCACATCTGCCACGGAATCCCTCAACAAGTCTGGTTCGTTGTCATTGGTGCCCCTGAGCAAAGTGCGGATCGCTTTTGCAAAGAGGGACTGTCCATTCCCAGGGTAGTTGACAAAGTAGGTCACTGCATTCACATGCTGCTCGTAGTCAAAGTCGCCCTCGGGGAAAAGAGTAGTCACCATGCATGCAAATTTCTTGAACTCCTCCACTGCAGTAAGCACTTGCTCCTGTGAAGAAAGCCAGCAGAGGAAGGTCATCAGTTGAAAGCTTCTCCAGTCCCCGCCGACAAAGCAACACCAGGAGCTTTCGTCGTTCTGGATCTGCACAATTTTGAAGTAGCTCAAGCACGTAGTCACTGAGGAGGGTGTCCTTCACAGCAGTTCCCACAGCCTGCCACAGTGAAATTTAGTTGAATTCAAAACTTGACATTGGCACAACAAATCATCAGAAAAGCAGAGTTGCTTCAGCTTTAGATTCCTGGATTTTAGATGTCGGTGTTCTGCTTGCAAAGCCCCGTGTCCAACACAATTGAACATAA